CCTACAATGTCAAACTCTTTTGACAGCTGCTGCTTCAAACTCTTGATATCCTCCATATCTGCTCCTGCAACCAACATATCATCAACATACAGCAGTAGGATGATATAACTGGACTGATATCTTTTGAAGTAGCAACAGTGGTCGGCGTTGCACTTCTGGAAACCTTCCTTGTGCATGAAGCCGTCATACTTCTTGTACCACTGTCTTGGGGCTTGTTTCAGGCCATACAAGCTCTTCGAAACCTTCTGGTTGGTGTATGTATATCTCCTCTTCTAGATCTCTGTGAAGAAACGCCGTCTTCACGTCTAACTGCTCGAGATGAAGATCTTTAATTGCTACAATACTCATCATGGTCCTGATAGTATTTAGCTTTACCACGGGAGCGAAAATATCGGTGTAGTCAATTCCTTCCTTCTGCTGGAAACCTTTGACAACTAGCCGGGCTTTATATCTTCTGGAACCATCCTGCTCCTCTTTCACCCGGTACACCCATTTGTTGTGGAGTGCCTTCTTACCTGTGGGCAACTCAGCTAGTTCCCACGTCTGGTTTGAGATGAGGAACTTCATCTCATCTTTCATTGCAAGCTCCCACTTGCTCGCATCTCCACACTGACAAGCTTCATCAAAGCTTTCAGGCTCCCCACCATCTTTCAGCAACAGATAGTTCATATATCTCCTGTTGGGTAAAGGAGGACGAGAAGATCTTAATATCGGAGCTGGTGCATCGGGCTCCTGCGCACCATCTTGTCCAACAGGCTCTTCTGGCTGAGGACCCTCTGCATTGGGTTTTTCCGAGAGGTTACTCGGGACATCATCTGCATCTACAAATATTGACTCGATCTCTGAGTCATCTGTCTTGTGCATGTCCTTGTACATCACCTTCTCGTTGAATATCACATCTCTGCTCATGATCACCTTCTTGTTTTCGTTGTCCCAGATGCGGTAGCCGAACTCATCTTCACCATAGCCGATGAAAGTGGATTTCTTTGACTTTCTTGATCACTAATATACACGTAAGCTACACAACCGAAAACTTTGAGATGTGAGAGTTTTACATCCTTTCCGCACCATACCTCCTCTGGTATTCTGTGCTCCAATGGAACCGATGGACCTCGGTTGATCAAGTAAGCTGTTGTGTTGACCGATTCTGCCCAGAACTGCTTCGGTAGTCCTGACTGTACTCGAATGCTTCTGGCTCTCTCTCTGTCAACGTTCGGTTCATCCGTTCAGCTACACCATTTTGCTGAGGCGTGTCGGGCACGGTTCTTTCCATTCTGATCCCGTGCTCATAGTAGAACTTCTTGAATCCGGTGTCTTCATACTCACCGCCATTGTCGGTCCTGAGCTTCTTTATTCTCAGACCGGTCTCATTCTCGACCATAGCTTTCCATCTCCTGAAAGCCTCAAATACTCTGACTTATGCTTCAGAAAGTAGACCTACACTTTCTGAGAGTGATCATCGATAAAAGTCACGAAGTAGTGTTTTCCACCAATGGACGCAGTGGTTGTTGGTCCCCACACATCTGAGTGAACAAGCTCTAGTTTCTCTTTCCTAGGGGTTCTACCACTTGTCTGAAAGCTGACTCTCTTCTGCTTTCCAAGTATGCATTCTTCACACATATCCATCTCCACTAACTGCAGTCCTGGGAGTTTTCCCTTTGTATGCATGATTTTCATCCCCTTCTCACTCATATGACCGAGTCTCTGGTGACACAACTTTGAAGTTTCATTGCCTGCTGCAACTGAGATCAAACAACGTGCACCTGCTGTCATATATAGGGTACCAGTCTTCCTACCTCGGGCAATCGTCATTGCGCCCTTTGAGATCTTCCAATCATCTCCATGGAAGGTCGTGGTATATCATTCGCCAGCCAACTGGCTTACGGATATTAAGTTCTTTATCAGGTCGGGAATATGCCTGACATCCTTCAGCTCCCATACTGACCCGTTCAACTTAATTTTCACCACGCCTTTGCCCACAATAGCACATGGTTGATCATCACCAAGATATACGTATCCAAGATTTCCGGGGGTATACTTCTCAAAGAATTCTTTCTGAGAGGTAGTATGGAACGACGCTCCTGAATCTAACACCCAAGATTCCTCCTTGCTCTCCAAAGAGCATATCAATGCGTCGTCTCCTCCTGAAGTGGAAGTGACATTCACCTCTGTCTTCGCCTCCTTCTCTTTCTGTGCACTCTTGCACTGATTCTTGTAATGCCCGGTCTTTCCACAATTCCAACACTCGATAGCCTTCGAGCTGTTGCTTGGATTCCTTGATTTGGACCTCCTGTCCTTTGATCTACCTCTGAAGTTTGATTTTCCTCGTCCGTTTCCTCTGGTTGAATTTCTACCTCTTGACTCTGTATGTAATACTGAAGAGGTTGTAGCTTTACATGTCTCTCTCCGTCGGATCTCCTCACTGAGAACCAAATCATGAACGTCATCGAACTTCAACTTTTTCTTTCCCGATGAGCTACTCACTGCCGTGACTGTAGCGTTCCAACTCTCTGGTAGGGAAGATAAAAGTATCAACGCCCGAACTTCCTCATTAAACTCAATCTCAACTGAACTCAATTGGGTTGTAATCGTATTAAGTTCATTGAGGTATTGTGCTACTGACGCGCCTTCCGCCATTTTCAGATTGAATAACCGCCGCATCAAATGAACTTTGTTCGCGGTTGATGGCTTCTCATACATATTTGAGAGAGCTGTCATAAGACCTGCCATGGTCTTCTCCTTTGCTATGTTGAATGCAACATTGCGAGTCAGCGTCAATCTGATAACTCCGAGGGCTTGTCTATCTAGAAGGTTCCACTCATCTGCCTTCATAGAATCTGGCTTCTTCCCCGATAGTGGTTGATACAGATTTTTCTGATACAAATAATCCTCTATCTGTATTTTCCAGAATCCGAAATCTGTTCCATCAAATTTCTCAAGTCTTATTTTTCCCTCATCTGCGGCCATGGCTCCCACTTGAATCTGACTTCCTCTAGATCGTTTCACTCTCTGATACCAGTTGTTGGGAATTTAACGCTGAAACCCCTAATGCAACAGAAACGCAAAATAGAAAAAGTACACCAAGTTTTAACGAGGTTCGGTAACTGCCTACGTCCTCGGGAGCCACACAGATAATTTCTTATTAATCAAACAAGAAATTATAAATCAAGAGCAAATCCCAAAACTGAGATTTCTCAAATAAACACTGTAACTACAGTGTTAATAATTAAAGGGTATGAACCCTTTTCAAGTCTCACTTGAGAATAAAGAATAACCCCACAATATAAAACCCTCTTTAATTCTCTCTCTCTCTCTCTCTCTCTCTCTCTCTCTCTCTCTCTCTCTCTCTCTCTCTCTCTCTCTCTCTCTCTTCTTAAATCCCCCTCAACTACTGTTGAAGGCTGGGGATAAATCAAAACCGCAGCAGCGATTTAGGGCAGTCCGCCGCCAAAGAGAAAATCGGAGGAGGGGGAAAAACTCAGCACCCGATAACTTCCATCATCGGTGTTTGATGGGGGATCAACTATCTATTGTGATTTTTAGACAGCCTACAGGTTGGCGACAGCCTGTCGCCAGTGGCCCACAGACGCCAATGTCGGGGGGTAAACGCAGAGGTCGGATCCGCCAAAAGAACGCAGAGGTCAAAGGGGTTCGAACGCAGAGCTCAAGCGGGTGGGTTCGAACGCAGAGATCGGGGTTCGAACGCAGAGCTCACCTGTGCTGCCGAAGATCACCTGGACCTCGCCTGTGGCTTCGCCTGCGTCGACACCGAGCTCGTCGGAGCTCCTCGCCGGCACTCCTCATCGGAAATGAGGTTTGATCTACACCCCAATTCTAACAGTTATATGAATGGAAGAAGCACCTGATGATATTGTGCACCTTCTTCGTATTGATTGTAATAGTGCAGTTTCTTAATTAATGAAATCTTATAACTTTTCACTAAAAAAAGAGATATACCAGAGCTTTAAAAAACTTATTCTTGCATATTTTTTCTTATCCAAATCCTTCAAAAGAAGAGATCAATTTATCTAGAAGTTTTTATTTTAAACAAGTATACCAATTGTTTTTTTTTTTTTTTGATACTTTTGTACATCTTGTCCAAGTTTGATCCGTCGTGCATTTGTTCTTATCAGTTTCTTCAAACTAATTTACCCAACTTGTTCGTTTTTTAGATAACCTTTTTTCCTTCCAATTTAAAAGTAATCCTGAATTTGTAAGAAAATATTTTCTAAAAGTAATTTAGATAATATTTATTAAAAGGAGGATATAACTGCAAGTGAAAGTTAAGTATAAATCTGCAAGGTAACCTATTTTTCTTCCAATTTAAAAGTAATCCTGAATTTATAAGAAAATATTTTCTAAAAGTAATTTAGATAATATTTATTAAAAGGAGGATATATCTGCAAGTGAAAGTTAAGTATAAATCTGCAAGTAATTTGAAAGATTGGAGGGACTAGTAGAAACCCATAACGCAGTTACGACATGGATGGTATCGTCAGACTTTAGAAAGGGGAAAAGTCAATTTTAATTTCCATATGGACTCCCTTTGGGCTAGCAGTCCATAATAAGGGAATTTTATTCGCCCTTTCTTTTACTTTTGGGAAAAATGTGTCCAGGCCATAAAAGTGGGAACTTCGTGTGACTAGCCCCCTTGTACTTTGCCCCATGTGGAATAGCCCCAAAAAATGAGCTTTAATGTTTTAAGCCCCCTCCACGTCAGCTTTATACTAAAAGTAGATCGTATTTTGCAAAAAAACCGAAACTGCCCTTCTCTTTCTTCCCCAGACGAGTCCTGGTCCGAATAACAGAAGTCACTTCTCATTAATGTGATATGATGGGGAAAATGGAGGGAAATTTCCCCATTTTTTACTCCATCTCATGAGCAATAACTAGTTAGTTCTCCATTACTCCTCCTCCTCAGACCAAAATTCTCTCCATAACTCTCTCCATCATGAGCAATAACTAGTTAGTTCTCCATTACTCCTCCTCCTCAGATCAAAATGGCTGAAAAGGACATCATCTGCATTGTCTCTTCGCAGTATAAAGCGGTATTCTTGAAGATTAATTCTTCAACCACCATCTTGGATCTCAAGTTTGATGCGGCAGAGAGGTTAGATCTTCCATACGAGTCATTAATTTTGGCATACGAAGATCAAACAGTTGGAAGCTTAAAATTTCTCATTGAGAACGATGGTGATCTGACGTCTATGGTGGAGCATTGCCACAATCTTGGACTGAAAGAGGTTCACGTGCAAGCTTTTAAAGAAGGAGATGATTCTTCGAATAAACAGGAAAACGAGCAAGTCCGACAAGACATGTAGGTTAACTGTAAAATCAATTAACTTAAGTTCTAATCGTCTTCTTGTTAGTTCTATACTAGGTTTAACTGGACTTCAGTTCTAATGTTTTATTTGTCATTAAGCAGTTCTTTGTTATGCTCCATACTAGAGTTCTAATGTTTTATTTGTCAGTTCTAATCGCTATTTTGTTAGTTCTACTAGAGTTATTGCTGGTTCCACTATAGTTCCCATATTGTTAGTCCTAATTGTTATAAATTAGATATAACGTGGTATAAATTAACGTGGTATAAATTAGACAATGTAGGTATAAAATAGAACTAACAAGCCATCAGTTAGAACTGACACTAACACACTACAGATTAGAACTAACACTGTGCATATTATTAGAACTAACACACTACAGAATAGAACTAACACTGTAGGGGATTAGAACTAACACTCTACAGAATAGAACGAACACTGTGCAGATTAGAACTAACACTCTACAGAATAGAACTCTACAGAATAGAACGAACACTGTGCAGATTAGAACTAACACTCTACAGAATAGAACTAACACTGTGCAGATTAGAACTAACACTCTACAGAATAGAACTAACACTGTGCAGATTAGAACTAACACTGTACAGATTAGAACTAACACTCTACAGAATAGAACTAATACTGTGTAGATTAGAACTAACACTCTACAGAATAGAACTAACACTGTGCAGATTAGAACTAACACTCTACAGAATAGAACTAACACTGTGCAGAATAGAACTAACATGTTATAATTTTGAAATATATAGCTTATTAGAACTAACCTTTAATGGCTATATTGTTTGTTCTAATAGCTATTATGTCAGTTCTAATCAATGCACTGTTAGCTCTAATGGTTATATTGTTAGTTCTTTCTAGTTCTAATTGATTCTAACAGCAAGCAATTGTCGTTTTTGCTTTTTATCTTTTGCTATTATCTGTTGATACTTCTACTATTTGTGCAGTTTGAACTCAAAAAGTGTAGACTGTGGCCCGTCGACGTTGTGGACCACAAGTGTTCCAGATAAGAATCCCAATGACTATCCTTCCGGAGATGATGTCATGATGATTGATGACATGATTAGCAGATCAGAGAGGATTCCTGCTTGGTGGCACACAGCTTTAACCGGTGAGGGACAACGATTTGAAAGTGCGAAGGAGTTAAGATTGGCCTTGCTATACTACTCCATGGTAAAAAAATTCGAATACGAGTTTGGGAAGAATGAACCGAAGCGTATTCGAGTGTTTTGTCGGTTTAAGGCAGCAAAAAATTGTCCGTGGATGTTATTTGCCTCTCCACCGAAAAATGATAATAGACTTGAAATCAAAAGGTTTGTGGACAATCACAGTTGTGGGCAGCATGGCAATAATGCTGGTCAATCTAGAGCCTCAAGGCGATTCATTGCTACCCAATTACAACCCACGTTAAAGGTTCGACCGGATATACGGCCTATTGACGTTCAAAAGGAGTTTCTAAGCTCGTATGGGATTAGGGTCGATTATAGTAAGATTTGGTGGGGTAAAGAAAGAGCACAAGAGAAATTATATGGTGATGCCCATGAGTCCTACGATCAATTACGATGGTAAATAGAAGATGATATATAACAAAAGACAAACTAATTTCCTTTATGTGACGTTGATTATACTAATTTTTCAATGTTGGTACTAACGCTTAATCTTCAATTTTCTAGGTATGTAGAAGAGGTCAAGAAGACAAACCCAGGTAGCTATATTCATGTTGAACAAAATGAGGGGAGGTTTACAAGGTTATTCATTTGCTACGCCGCCTGCATAAATGGTTTTTTATACGGCTGTAGACCACTCTTATTTTTGGATGGTACCTTTCTTAAAGATCGATTCAAAGGCATACTCCTAAGCGCCGTAGCATATGATGGAAATCAGGGGATATTTCCATTGGCGTATTGTATATGCGATCAGGAAAATAATGTTAACTGGAAGTGGTTCTTACAAGGTTAGTTCTATCCCTAGCCATGTTAGTTCTGTTGCAGGTTATGATAATTCTAGCTCATTCATTGCTAACTCTAATTCGTGTATGGTAACCACAACTCTTTGTAGGTTTGTGGTCTATTCTCTATGAAAGGCCAGATCCATACAACCCTCCACACAAGCTAGTGATAATTTCAGATGCGGATAAGGGGATCAGAGAAGCAGTTAGAGAATTTTTTCCAGATTCTATACACTCTCGATGTGTGTTGCATCTAGTTGAGAACTTCAGGACAAAGTTGAAGGATTTGGGATTCAAATCAAAAGATACTCAGATCTTGGGTAATCTATTGCAATCTGCCTGTTACAAATATACTAGAGCAGAATGGAACGATTACATGGACGACATTAGACTGGTTGACGAAAGAGCTTACAATATTGTGATGAACTACGCTCCAGAAAACTGGGCCAATGCGTTTTTTCCTGGAGTTAGGTAAGTTATAAGCTATTTCATTACATGACTATTATAAGCCGCTTGACGAATTCCCTATTATGTTTCAGATATGGTCACGTTACATCAAATGTTGCAGAGTCATTCAACAAATGGATACATGAGGCTAGGCTACTACGGATACTTCAACTGGTAGAGCACATACGTAAACAGATTATGGTTCGTATGAATGAGCGACGAACCATGGCTGAAAGCTGGAATCAATTTCTTTGCCCCAAAGCTGAACTTGCTCTCAAAGAGAACATGGAAAATGGCCGTCCATTGGAGGTTCGTCAGTCCCACACAGGATTATTTGAGGTACAATCCCATAGATCTTGTCAAGTGGATCTAGACAATAAAACATGCACTTGCCGTGGGTGGGATGTAACCCGTGTCCCTTGCAAACATGCATGCGCATCCATTATGTTTATGAAAAGGGATGTCTACCAGTTCTGTGACTGGTTTATGACGGTTGAAGCCTTTAAAAAAAGCTACGAGCCAATCCTCTACCCTATCCCTGACTTTGAGAAGCGCATCGTGCCAAGGGATGAGATACAGATCCTACCTCCACTTACAATAAAAAGGAAAGGGAGAAATAAAACCAGGCGTATCAACAACAGAACTGTTTACACGCGGCCAGTAAAATGTTCTCGATGTCATATGGAAGGTCATAACCGTAAAACATGTAATGAATCTATAGCTGACTAAGTGTTTGATATGTTGAAGTGTTTTCGTCCCAGTATGCAACAAATATTTTGTTTTTTTCCGATTGAATGTTTACTCTTTGTTAATCGGGAACTAACATCAGCTTACACTAGATAAAAAGTTGTAAGTAACAAAACAACTATCATATTAGGCCTAACGCGCACAAAGAATAGAACTAACATCTTAGTTATTCAATGCACTCGAATAACTAGGAGTAACAAGCCAAAGAATAGAACTAACTTGGTATCAGATAGTACTAACATGTGCAGAAGCAGAACTGACTTGGATCGGAACAGGTTACAGAATAGAACTAACACTGTGAAGATTAGAACTAACACTCTACAGAATAGAACTAACACTGTGCAGATTAGAACTAACACTCTAAAGAATAGAACTAACATCTCAGTTATTCGATGCGCTCGAGGGGCTAGGAGTAACAAGCCAAAGAATAGAACTAACTTGGTATCAGATAGTACTAACATGTAATAAAGCAGAACTGACTTGGATCGGAACAGGTTACAGAATAGAACTAACACTGTGAAGATTAGAACTAACTTGGTATAAATTAGAACTAACTTGGTATAAAATGAGAACAAACTTTGTTTAAATTAGAATTAACAAGCCATCACACTCTACAGAATAGAACTAACACTGTGCAGAATAGAACTAACACTCTACAGAATAGAACTAACACTGTGCAGATTAGAACTAACACTCTACAGAATAGAACTAACGTTCTACATAATAGAACTAACACTGTGCAGAACAGAACTAACTTGCTATAAATTAGAACTAACTTGGTAGAAAATGAGAACAAACTTTGTTTAAATTAGAACTATCTTTGTATAAATTAGATCTAACGTTGTATAAAATAGAACTAACTTGGTATAAATTAGTAAATTAGATATAACGTGGTATAAATGAGATATAACAAGCCATCACAAACTACAGATTAGAACTAACACTCTACAGAATAGAACTAACACTGTGCAGATTAGAACTAACACTCTACAGAATAGAACTAACACTGTATAAATTAGAACTAACACTCTACGGAACAGAACTAACACTGTGCAGATTAGAACTAACACTCTACATAACAGAAATAACTTGGTATAAATTAGGTTTATAACGTGGTATAAAATAAACTAACTTGGTATAAAATAGAACTAACTTGGTATAAATTAGATTTAACGTGGTATAAATTAGGTTTATAACATGGTAAAAATTAGAACTAACATAAATTAGATATAACGTGGTATAAATTAGATATAACGTGTAATAAAATAGAGCTAACAAGCCATCACACGCAACAGAATAGAACTAACACTCTACAGAATAGAACTAACACTCTACAGATTAGAACTAACACTATGCAGATTAGAACTAACACTCTACAGAACAGAACTAACACTGTGCAGCTTAGAACTAACACTCTACAGATTAGAACTAACACTGTGCAGATTAGAACTAACACTCTACAGAATAGAACTAACACTGTGCAGAATAGAACTAACACTCTACAGAACAGATCTAACATGTTATAATATATAACTAAAAGGATGCAGATTGGAACTAACACAACATTTGTAACAAACTGTTTGGTGGATAAGAAAAATTTAACAAGAAAAAACACGCAATGATGCCAGGTCTTCATTTGTTGCTGCCCTCGCTGGATCGGTTTGGGTCTAATAAACCCTTTTCGCTGTCACTCGCCTTCCTTTTCGAAGGTCCTGGCTTACTGCGCTTTGAGGAAGGAGAACTGGATCCCGCTGAGCCACTGTGGGAGACGACGGGGTTTAAAGGGAGAGGAACATTGCCGGTAGGGAGAGCCCTTGGAGAATTGGCACCCCCGACCCCTTGGTTACGGAGAAACAGCTGCCATTGGTCTCTCTCGACCGTCATGTGGACGCCACCCCAACTAACCTCAATTAACTCGGGGTCGGCCCTAAAGGGCTGCGCACGCTGGGGCCCTAAGTTGAGTCGTGTGGATCCCTGAGCCCTCTCCAAATCCCCCCCGCTTTGGACCTGCGTGATGGCGTATCCTTCCCTGGCGTTACCGTCCACCGGCGAGATGTAACGGAACCCAAGCCTCTTAGGGATTTCAGATAAATCCCTAACCTTGAGTAGAACTCTACAGTCTTTGAAGTTAGAATGTGTTATGACGTCCCTGGAGCACATGACACATTCACCGATACCAATGAGCAGAGATTGAAGAAATTCAAAATTCCAGAGGTGGTATGGGAGATTGAATAGGCGAATCCATACTAGAAAGGGTTGAGGCAACGTTGTTAGCCTCAGATCCTCTTTCCAACGGCGAAATCTGCCCTTAAATGTGCCCATATCTATCAAACCGAGATCAATAGCTTGGGCAAGAACTTCATCGGATGGAAACTGTACCATGAAGCTGTTCCCTGCCGCCTCCTTGATTTGATGGGGCCATGACCTAAGATTGAAGCGGTAGGCCAGCATTTCTCGGAGCTCCTGCACCGATGGACGGCCTCTATCAAGATTGAAGATGGCGAAAGCAGAAAGATGCCGTATGGTGCTGGAGGTGTTGGCCGGGACGGTAAGCATCCTCGGAGGGGCACTTGCGGTAATTCCATGATGACAATCTCGAGTGTTGTGTCCTGTCCCATGGCAGTGTACACAAGAAGGATCCCCAGCCATTTGTGAGGGTATACGATGAAAATAGATGACGCTGGGTTGAGGTTTTTAGCAGGGGGAGGGGTTTGCAGAGGCGCCTACGCTGGGGCCAGTAGAAGAAAGGTGGTGACCGTACCTATCGATGGAAGTTCGTATTAGGTATTTAAGTTAATTAATTTATTTAACTGACTTGGGAACACGCGAATATATGATGTGACATGTTTGTGTGATGGAACCGTCGCTTCGAAAGAAGTGAGCAGCTGGAGGTCTGAAGATAACTTAAATAATTAAAAAATTAGAACTGGCTCTGAGATAGAACTAACGAGCATGGTACAGAATAGAACTAACGTTGAATGAGTTAGAACTAACGAGCATCACTAGAACGAACATGGTACAGATAGAACAATACATCTGATAACAATCATTTTCAATTACTTAAATATACATACATTATTGTATTTGTATGAACATATCATTCATCACTGTACACTGTTTCTTCTTTATGTCTTTGTTCAAAACCAGCCAGTAATAATTGTGCGGCAAGTCTTGCTCGCATAGCTTCAGGGATATCGTTCGGAGGATTAACCAGCAATGTTGATCGTCCTTCAATTATGAATTTTACAAAGAGGTAGACGAACACACCACAGTCAAAGCTGCAACATAGAGTGAGTTCATTAGACATTTTCGGTCCGTTCGAATACTATAACACAAATTAACACAATATAAACATCGGAACTAACCGTCCTCTTTGTTGCTCACATTTGATGGCTTGATATCTAAATATTTGGAGCACATTATCTTCAATAAAATCAGCATGATGGGCATCAAAGAAGTTTATGATTTTATTAACAGGCTCCATCCAAGCTTCGTGCCCAGCGGAGCTGTAATGTTTGACGACTTTATCTTTAAGGCCAACTTCTACAAGATGCCAATGATCATGCCTGACCAAAGGGATCAAGAGATGCTCTATGCGGAATGCGGTATATTTGTCAATGAAGTTCAAATATAGCTCGTAATTGTTCACCTCCAAGCCATAGAGTGAGTGCTGCAAACACATCATGTTTGAGTTGAAATTAAAACAAACATGAGCTGCGAAGGCTAACTAATACCGTATTAATTAGAACTAACACGCTACATAATAGAACTAACACTGTGGAGAATAGAACTAACACGCTACAGAATAGAACTAACGTTCTACAGAATAGAACTAACACTGTGCAGAATAGAACTAACACTGTGCAGAATAGAACTAACACTCTACAGATTAGAACTAACACTCTACAGAATAGAACTAATTCTGTGCAGATTAGAACTAACACTCTACAGAATAAAACTAACACTGTGCAGATTAGAACTAACACTCGACAGAATAGAACTAACACTCTACAGAATAGAACTAACACTGTGCAGATTAGAACTAACACTCTACAGAACGGAACTAACATGACTTATGGTAGGTCTAATTTGATGCTAACTAGAACTAACGTGACTCATGGTATAACTAGCATGGATTACACAAGATCTAACATGAATTTCAATCAAAACTAACGTGGTGAAATTAGGAATAGCATGTTCTTACAAGAAAGAACACCGATACCACTCCATATCCTTTGCCGTATGCCTCCTGGCTAATCGTGTCCAAAACTGCTTCTTCCACCTGTAATTGTTATGAAACATTAAAATTCAATTTAAACAATATAATTTGAATTATTAAGGAAGTATATGTTAACCTTGTCGTCAAGGCGACCACCACGAAGCACATATAACAACTCTTCCCTGTTAATACTGCTGTTGGTTGTTACTATAACATTATATCTCCTGGTATAAATTAGAACTAACATGAATTAGAACTAATATGTGGAGAATTAGCATATAAATAGTCAACTGAAACTTACTTGTGAATCTTCTGAGAACAAAATTTGGTTAGGCTCTCAATTTCAGCTTTGTCGAGTCTTTCTGCTACGGGAGATGTTATCTTTAAATTATGTACAAAAGCACCTGTGCTATCTATTATGCGTAAGTTAAACAATGTAGGGTCTGGAAGCTCATTATTCAGCTCTCCCAATAGAGCTTCCTCTTCACCTGTCATTGGCTTCATACTCAACGCATCAAAAGTGGGGATTTGAATACCGGGGTAAAAATGAGTAACTTTTTCAGCTAGTTTTACTTTTGGTTCAGGACTTTCAAGTATATCTATACTAATTTTTTCCTTTTTCTTTCTTTTGCCTTCAGTATATGGTGTCCTCTTCCATTTAGATCTCCTGCTTACCCTTCTTGGCTTTGGTGGGAGCTTTGCTTCCACATTGCTTGTTAGAACATCTACAAGATTGTCCACATCATGTTTAATATTCACAAGATCCTCTTCCTCCTGTGCTTCCAACTTATCTACATTCTCCTTCTCTTTATCTACAATATCTTCCTCCTTATCTACACCATCAACAGTATCCTCATCAAAACCTTTGTTATCTACAATAAAATTTTCATTTTCCATATGCTCCTCTTCCTTATCTACCATATGCTCCTCTTCCATATCTACAATATGTTCCATATGCTCCTCTTCCATATCTACAATATGTTCCATATGCTCCTCTTCCATATCTACAATATGTTCCATATGCTCCTCTTCCATATCTACAATATGTTCCATATGCTCCTCTTCCATATCTACAATATGTTCCATATGCTCCTCTTCCATATCTACAATATGTTCCATATGCTCCTCTTCCTTATTTACACTATCATCAACCTTAGTATCTACAGTCTGGTCAACCTTACTATATACCCCCTCCCCTGGAGAAGTAACAGGCTCCTCTTCACTTGCCTCATCGTCAGCAGGATGCATCACATCCTCTTCAACAATCTTATGTACATGTTCTTGCATGGTGGGCTCTTCCTTATATACACTGCTTGTTTTGGACTTCTGTTCCTCTTGAGCTCCCTGTCGCTTCTTCCTAATTTCATTTGCAATTTTCTGTTTGATATTTGACTTAAGCAGCACTGGGTCTATAACCTCATCATGTCTTCCACATTTTTCAATTATCCTGTTAAGCCTGTTGATCTCAATCATGAATTCTTTACAATAATTGCTCTTGGTCTGCTTTGTAGCATCAAGAAGTCGCTTGAGAAATTTAGCAGAATTTCTCCAAAATGTGAGTTGCTGCTCAATGGGAAGAACATTGATCTCCTCTTCATCGTCAAAAGCAACGTCAATATGCTTTGCCATGATCTGTTATTGATACAAGATTATAATTTTAAGTAGGATTAAACATAATTAGGATATTCTTTGCAGTTAGTGTGAAATGAGTACGACTTAACATAACAGGATACTTACGTAACCTATTGAGAAGTTCTTAGTAGTTTCTTCCTGCAAAGTCTTCCTCTTTGCCTGACGCTTTTGCTGAAGAACTTCACCCCTCTGTACAGCGGGACCTTCATCCCTCTGTTCAGCGGGAAGTGAATGAACATGACCAGGAGAAGCGACCTCCGCAATAGGCCTATGGACAAATGTTATTGACGCTGACTTAGTAAAATTAGAACTAATTTGTTATAAATTAGAACTAACTTGTTATAAAATAGAACTAGCTTGGTATAAATTAGAACTAATGTGGTTTAAATTAGAACTAACTTGTTATAAAATAGAACTAACTTGATATAAATTAGAACTAACTTGGTATAAATTAGAACTAACATGGTATAAAATAGAACTAACTTGGTATAAATTAGAACAAACTTGGTTAAAATTTTAGAACTAACTTGTTATAAAATAGAACTAACTTGGTATAAATGAGATATAACATGGTATAAATTAGGTTTATAACGTGGTTTAAATTAGAACTAACATAAATTAGATATAACGTGGTATAAATTAGATATAACGTGTAATAAAATAGAACTAACAAGCCATCACACGCTACAGACTTGAACTAACACTGTGCAGAATAGAACTAACACTGTGCAGATTAGAACTAACACTCTACAGAATAGAACTAACACTGTGCAGATTAGAACTAACACTCTACAGAATAGAACTAACACTGTGCAGATTAGAACTAACACTCTACAGAATAGAACTAACACTGTGCAGATTAGAACTAACACTCTACAGAATAGAACTAACACTGTGCAGATTAGAACTAACACTCTACAGAATAGAACTAACACTGTGCAGATTAGAACTAACACTCTACAGAATAGAACTAACACTGTGCAGATTAGAACTAACACTCTACAGAATAGAACTAACACTGTGCAGATTAGAACTAACACTCTACAGAATAGAACTAACACTGTGCAGATTAGAACTAACACTCTACAGAATAGAACTAACACTGTGCAGATTAGAACTAACACTCTACAGAATAGAACTAACACTGTGCAGATTAGAACTAACACTCTACAGAATAGAACTAACACAGTGTTAGTTCTATTCTGTAGAGTGTTAGTTCTATTCTGCAGCGTGTTAGTTCTAATCTGTCTGTAGCGTGTGAGTTCTAATCTGCAGATTAGAACTAACACTCTACAGAACGGAACTAACACTGTGCAGATTAGAACTAACACGCTACAGAATAGAACTAACATAGAATAAGTTAGAACTAACAATGCATAGGTACGAATTAGAATGAAACAAGATCAGTAAAATATGGAACTTACACACAATAGTGTCATGCAACCTGGGACATATGCGACCTTTTGCTTCTTCTTTCCCTCCAAAGCAACTCCAATGCCCCTGATAATTTCATTATAAAAGAACGGGGCCCATGCAACAGAATTGACCCTCTGAATGCTATCCAGGTACCTGAGTAAGGGTCTAGGGATACCTTCCCCTGCTATGGGACTCCATATCATAGAGCATTGGTACAAAATTTGTAGCAGAGCAAAATCCTCGATATCCCGCTTTTTGGTAGATTCAACAAGCCGTTCAAGTAGCCCTTCAAGATGTTTACGTTGGCTGGTTTCTGATTTTTTTAACTTCTTACCCTCTTCAGAAATGAAAAGCTTAGCGAAGTATTCCAGCCATATTCTGCTTCTTGAGTCCCTATTGTTCCTTATGTCCTCCCCATAAATTGGGAAATAAGTATGGTTGTGGACCCATTGCAAATCAAAACTAACATTTTTCATACCCCCACTTTTTGAATCAGGTATACAAAAGGTGTTATTATCTCTATCGAAAAAGCTCAGCAGCAGCTCAAGGGTGGGCCGATCAGGCGCAGGAGCCCCAAACAAAATGTAGTGCTGAAATATAGAACCGCAGTATGCATCCCTATGCCACTGACGGATCTTCGGGGAAATGCGCTTCATAAATGCCCAATAAGCCCCGATATTAGCCGTTAACCTTAGTGTTTCTGCTGAGCCTGTTAGAGCAATTTTTTCCCTGCAAAAAATTTTTGAATTTGTAAGTTCAATAAGACATATGAAACAATATTAGACCTAGCACTAACGGGAACAAAATAGAGCTAACACGTAATATTATAGAACTAACATTGGACTCATATTAGAACTAACATTGGACTTAAACTAGATCTAACGTTGGTATAAATTTAGAACTAACATTGGACAAAGCCTAGAACTAACAATATTGGGTTAATCTGCATTGTCTGTTCGCAGTATAACATAACACTTACTGTTTTTTTGAGGGGGGTTCGTTGGTACGACCAGCCATTGTCGTCCTCCTTTTCTGGTCTCGCCATTGTAATGCCTCCTTTTGCATTTCGATTAGGGTTTTCGTAGCTTCCGTAGCTTCCTCCGTGCTGCCACCCGCAGATGAAGCGCCTTTTCCTTCCAACTCGGCTCGGTGCCCGACCTCGTAGTCGTTACTGGATTCTTCCGTAGACGATATTTTTCCGGTGAAAACCCTAGAAACCTTGAAATCCGTACAGAAATTAGAAAGATGAAGAGTTTTTGATGGCGGTGCTAGGTGGAAGAGAGAGAAAGAGAGGGAGAGTACTTGTAAAGGTGAGGGGCACATTAACCCAGCTCAGTCCCATCAGAGGGCAAGATCGTAACTTCCTCTGGCTTTTTCTGAAAAAAAAGTCAATTCGGGGCCTCGTCGCAAATACTATGCGTATTTGGGGCTATTCCACATGGGGCAAAGTACAGGGGGGCTAGTCACACGAAGTTCCCACTTTTGGGGCCTGGACACATTTTTCCCTTTACTTTTTTTTCTTTCTAAATGGGGCTTAAATACCCTATTGTTTCATTATCTTTATTTTTAAATATTTTAAGCTATAAAAATATTATTTTTAATACTCTAACTTATAAAAAAATAACACTTTAATATTCTAAGTTATAAAAAATTGGCACATTAGTACATCCTATTTGTTGCACGTGCAGAATATTCTCATGGGAGCACATGATTTTTATAATTTTATTGATCCCATTTATAGTCATATTTAACATCTATATCTACCCTCTATCTTTTTATTAGACAGTAACTAGTTTTTTCAATGGTGATTACTAATGGTCGGCAACTTAAAGTACTTATGCATTATTTTTTACAACTGATGGTATTTAAGCGTAAACGTTGTGAAAATATAGGGTATTTAATTGAAATTTAGCCTTGTTTTTTTTCATATGCCACACTATGTTATTGACATCTTTCGTTAAAGAATAGATGCTACCGACATCTTTCTACAACATACACATTCTCAATTTCTAATTATAGACATTACTGTTGGGGATGCACAATCCCCCTGATGCGATTTGGAAATAGAGATTTAGGAGAGAAGTGAGAAAATCAAACAATCAC